TTTTTCTTTTGTACAATTGTGGAAATAAGGAAGGGACATATGATGGACTTCTTTGATCAGAGGATCGATTATTTCCAATAAAATGTGCACTGCAAATCACACTATAACGGTTAGGGATCCATAATTTTCCATTTTTTCTAAAATACCATAGTTAATCATTAGATTTATAATACAGGTACTCTATTGTATTACAATAAATAATAAGATATTGAAATAATTAATTTGTATAAAAAAAAGTAATAGTACTCACTCAATTCGATTAACAGCCTTGATCCATTTTTCTTTTAATTCCTTTTCATAAGATTTATTAGGAAAACTATAGAATTGTATATTTGTTGTGTTCTTGTAAGTGTTACTACAATTCACCACACAACAAATCTTTTTTGATTTGCTTTGGTTCATTTTAATATGATAATTAAATTTTATATTATTAAATGTATAACTTATATGATTTAAACGTTCATCACGACCACGATTTAAGATATACCTTAATTATTACTTATTAGTGTATTAATTATTAGTACATCTTAATTCGTGATCACGACTCACGGATTTACGAACTTACGGTTATCTCTGTCGTTAGATGTGTAACGAAAATAGACGATAGTCGGTTTGTGGGTATAATTGAATAATTCATTTATTTTCGTCAACTTTTAATTTTACAATATTGTTTGTTGAATTTACAGTATTTTCTTTTATATACGAATTCTTAACTCAAAGAGTGTACATTTAAAATATTTTAACGGGGTGACATATAATGGGTGGGAATCAGACATGAAACTCACGGAATGGCTGCGGTAGACTGGCTCTTTTGGTGGCTCTTCCGTGATTCTCCTGCGTCTGCTCGATACAATGGACAACAATATCCTGGCTTCCCGGATTTGACTATGGACTGGCTGGTCGGCGGCAGCAGTGGCTCGGCGTACTCAACAGTGTTTGGAACAATATAATGATTGGTTTAAACGGCGGTGGCGAAGACTCGGCGTTTTAATACAAGAACGGAGCACGGCGTCGGTCGGCGGCAGCAATGGCTCGGCGTACGCGACGGGCTTAGAACAATATAACGATGCGTTTAAACGGCGGTGGCGAAGACTCGGCGTTTTGAGCGGTGGTGGACGACGGCGACAATGATTCGGCGTGTACTGTAGCGGCAGCGAAACGGAATCGGACGACGGTGAGATCCGGCGTTCTCGACTACGATGGCGATATGGACAAGGAGGGCCAACACACTGCTGTAAACAGCTAGTACTTGGTGGAAACAATCTGTAGTCTATCCGTGTCTACCGGTGTTTTACTACCGGCCGGCTTAGACAGATTGCAGGCTAGCGCTGTGGGTAGTTCGGCGTAAGTTCCCGTGTCTACCGGTGTTTTTAATACCGGCCGGTCTACTAGTACGCCTCACTCAGCGAGGGGAACAACATAATTTTGACAGTGCTCAACGGCCTGTACTTATGCTGTGTGAGGCCCTGGCGAAGTATGATTTGTAATAGTTGCGTTTTTGAAATTTGATGTGTTTCGGATTGACTTAAAACCGTTTGAAAAATATGGGGAGGTAGTTTGATCGATGTAGATTTATAATTGGTTTTAATTGGGGTTTTAAGTTGTGGGGTTTAGAAGTTATGGGTGTTTTCCCGAAGGGCGGCGTGCGTCCGGAAAGATTGTGTGAGGGGAGCGCTATCTGCGGTAACGGCGCGCAGTTGCCTGTGTGCGTTCGCCGGTGTTTTTTGTGCTCGCGGGCGGCGCAAGAGCGCGCGATCTCATTAGGTATTGATGTAACGGGCCACGAGAGTGCGCCACCTAAATGGGCACTCCGTTCGTCCCGTTACAGATGATGATAAAATTGATGAAATATGATAATAGCACAATATCTTTTTACCCCCCAATTAATGCAGTTGTTGTCCACCAAGAGCGCTACGTACGCACTTGCACGGTGTCTATAAAGCAAACGGAAGAAACTGGAGCTAATATTTTACATATAATGAATAGTCAAACAACAGTATACTCTATCCCAAAAGAGAATAATCACTTTTCGCGCATGTAGACTGAGCGCTACGGCAGCGCCGAGGCCAACTTTCTCCCACCTAAATCAGCCGACGGATCACGAAGACCATGGACGACCGTTTACGATTAATATTTATAATTATTATTATGCGCGACTGCAGTAATGCATTAACCGCGGTGAGGAGTGACTGTTTTTTTTTCGTAAAATGTGACTCTATTTTTTAAATAAAATTAATCATTATATAAATACAAACAATTATTCAATTATAATATTATATACGAAAAAATAATAGTTACAAATACAAAATACAAATATAACAAACATTATTTATGAACAAAAATATAATATTATATACGAAAAAATGATAATATCATATACGAAAAAATTATAATTACAAATACAAAATACAAATATAACATTATTTACAAGTTTACAGTTTACATTTATTCATCAGTTTATGGTAGAGGTACAACGTCGTTAAAATCGTCCGAGTCATCATCATCACTTTCAACATTTAAAACACATGGTTCTTTTTCAGCCATCAATTCATCCACCACAAAGTCCATCTTAAACAATTTTTCCTCCTCTTCTATTGTATGTTTAATGAAGTTTTTCCACATGTCGGCATCAACTCTTTCTACACCTTCTATTAATAATTGTTTTACGTCGTTGAGCTTAAATGTTTTGTTATTCATCCTCACATGGTTTTTTACAATTGACCATGCGAGCTCAATAGGATTGAGCTCGCAGTGGTAAGGTGGCAATCGAAGAATTGTTTTGTTTTGTTTTTTGACTAGTTCATCAATGACATATTTATTGTACAAGGGTCTCAGCCTGTCCACAATGGTAAGTAGCTCTGGAATAACCATTGGTCTACTAATAACCTCTCCTTTACTCTCGAGCCATTCGATAATTTTTTGTTTTTTGGTATTTGTCGTTGGGCATTTGTCTTGTTTCACTGAATGGTACGGAGCGTTATCCATGACAATCACTGCGTTATCTTTGAGTCTAGGTAAAACACCTTCCAACCATTCACGGAAACAATCGCCATTCATTTCATCGTGATAGTCTTGAGTGTTTTTCCTAGACTCAAAGCACAGAAGACTGTCAGAAACAAATCCATCTTCCGATCCTATATGGCAAACTATCAGGCGTTTCCCCTTTCCACTAGGATTTACTGCTCCCGTTGTAAGACCTTTATTTGTCGCATCTCTCGCAGATTTAATAGATTTATCGCACCATATTTTATTCGGTACGTCACCAGCATTTACCCAAGTTTCGTCCAAATAGTATATTGGGCGACCCTCCATACGATATTGCCGAATATCCAATAAATAATTTCTTCGCCAAACAACAATTTCTTTTCGCTCAATCATTGCGCTATTTCGACCACGTTTAACAAATTCGAATTCCATAAAATGTAATAATCTATGGAGTGAGGAGCGTGAAAAATTGGGCAAATTGGCATTAATATCAATAAAACTATTTTTATTTTATTAAAGAAATATTACCTGCTGAGAAACTGAAGAAAAATCTGTCACAGTATTATTGACTAATATGACTTTACATGGATCAGTTACTTGATTTACTTCAATTGCTAACTAAGTTTGAATAAAGATGAACAAAACAATAAGATTAATTCACTGAATAAATATTCTGAATACCTAGTCTGAACATGTACTACTTACTTTATTTGAAATTGTAGAGCAACTATTATTATCCGATTCAACACATTCATTGTTTCTAGGTTTTTTACAAAAATAAGATAGTATACTCATACTGCCATTTCTCTTGGACCTTTTAGATTCATCACTTTCATTCATGATTTATGATTTCAGATTTACGAATGGACAATGGTTAATTAGTAATCACTAGTCAACAGTTACCTCCTTATATTTATTATAATAAGTACTAAGCAGAATGACCGTTGTTCAACAGCTAGGTAATGAGTGATGTACGAATTATTTTTATTTATCACAAAAAATATTTAATAGCATAAAAATACAAATTCAAAGATGTTAACAGTACCTATCATGGCAAAATATTTTTTTTCTGTGATAATATCATGTTTAGCATGTTCTATGATGATATAGATAATATACAAAAACTAATGTTTTGACAGCCGAGCAGCTGACTTATCAGTTAATCTGTTCTAACCTAACCTAACTTATAGAAAACCAGTGTACCTCAAAATTGTGCGTAGTCGCCGACCGGTTTTTGCTACGCAGCGTCGCGCGTTCTGGTAGCCCGTACCAAAAATTTGCCACTCGGCGATTTATTAATAATTTTTAATGAAAATACGCGGAGCGGTGGGTGTTTCAGCTCCCAAGCACCCCCCCTAAATCCGCCACTGGTATCAACCATGCGAAATACAACTATTTAGAAAACCGGAAATGGCACCAACTATAATTGCGTAGTTAAAAGATTTGGATTGCAACGAAATATTTATCATAAATTAATAGGTAAAAATACATGGATTCACACGGGTAACGATAGTTTAACAATTAGTTGTACAGATCTAAGTGAACCATTCATAAAAGAAATAAGGGGTACTGCTAAAATTATGGTTGGCAATGAAGAATTCTTATGCAAAACCACAACCAAAAATCTGAAGTTAATGCTAAAATCCCCTCATCCTTTCCGTCAAGTAATTAAATTACTAAACGATAAGTCTGTGGAATATTTCACATACCAAGCGAAGGAAGACAAATCTTATCGATTAGTGCTAAAAAACCTACACCACACAACGCCCACGGAACTTATTACTCAAGACCTCGAAGATCTTGGATTTTCGGTCAGGAACGTTACTAATATAAAGAATAAAAACCAAAAAAGCGGTCCACTCCTACTCTTTTTCGTCAACCTTAACCCAGCGCCAAATAACCCAGAAATATTCAAGCTTAAGACGCTATGCCACTCAATAGTCAAAATTGAAGAACCCCATTCCAGACGGGACCTACCTCAATGTCACAGATGCCAAAACTACGGGCACACGCGTACTTACTGCAACCGTTCACCTAGGTGTGTCCGTTGTGGTCAAGCGCATATCTCCGACATGTGTGAAAAATCAAAGGACACCCCAGCTACCTGCTCTCTATGCGGAAAAGATCACCCAGCAAACTACAGAGGATGTGCGGTACACAAAGAACTCCAAAAGACCAGAAACACGACAGCCTCAACCGCTCATGTGGACGTCAGCAGGAGACTACTCGACAGCAACCATCCAGATAAGATCAAACAACACTTGAATTGGGAAGAAACACAAGGTAAGCCTCCTAGTAATGCCACCTATTCTCGCTCTTACTCAGATACATTAAAACCACCTAACTCTAACTCTCAAACACATGAATCTTCCTTTTCCCCTGATCCCCCTCCAGCCACTCTTTTCGCATCCTTTCTTGAACATTTTCAATCACTCATTACACCATTAATAAACACAATTTTAACCAAAAATGATAACTAGCCCAAACGTAAATCATCCATTATCAATTTTCTCTTGGAATGCCAATGGTCTCAGACAACATATAAATGAACTCCAGCACATCCTATTAGAAACAAACACCGACATTGCACTAATTTCTGAAACACACTTTACCCTGAACACCTGCGCGAAAATATATGGCTTCAATGGCTACTTTTCTTGTCATCCTGATGGCACGGCTCATGCAGGTGCTGCAATCTACATCAAATCAAACATATCATATCATTCACTAACCCCCTACTCCACACCTCACATTCAGGCAGCCAGTGTCTCATTAGTTGTACCTAGCAACATAACTATCACTGTCTCCGCAGTTTATTGCCCTCCTGGCCTCATAACCACATCAGACCACTTTTCCAACTATTTCTCAACCTTGGGTCATCGTTTTATTTCTGGTGGTGATTTCAACTCTAAAAACCCTGCATGGGGTAACCGTTCTCCCAATACCAGAGGCAGAGCTTTACAGCAATGCATAAACAACAAAAACTACTCCTCAATAGCCCCCCCCCCCCCCAGGTCCTACATACTGGCCCTCTCATAGTAACAGACATCCTGACATTTTGGACATTTTTGTCAAAAAACTACCTAGCAACATACATAGTGATCTCAACAACCTCTACGACCTTTCTTCTGACCACTCCCCAACAATGCTTAAACTAGGATTAAATGTCCCTCCCCAACAAAGGGAATCTCTTACCCCAAGTCAACTAAACTGGCCTAACTTTAAAAAAGTAATAAATAAAGATATCAAACTCTCGATCTCATTAAAAACAACGGACGACATCAATGTTGCTGTCAATCTCCTCACAACCTCAATCCAAAAAGCTGCACTAGAATCAGCAAAACCATATAACCATACAAACCCAAAAAAACAAACCCCATATCACATACAATCATTACTAGCCGAGAAACGTAGAATAAGAAATAAATGGCAAACATTCAAGTACCCAAATGACAAGGTAAAACTTAACAAATTGAATAATGAAATAAAAAAGGCTATCCAACTCGACAGAAATCAATCCTACAATAATTATGTAGAATCACTAACCACAAAAAACTCATCTCTTTGGAAAGCGACCAAATCTCTACTCCGCCTAAATCAACCTACCCCCCCTTTAAGAAATGAAGACAACTCATGGGTTATTACCGACACTGACAAAGCAAATATTTTAGCACAACACCTGGAAAACTCTTTTTCTCCCCATGATATCCAACCCAGCCATTCCCAACTAAAAATTGTTGAAGAGTACCTTGAAGCTCCTCTACCAATGTCCATGCCTGCCAAACCTACATCTCCTGATGAAATTAACACCATAATCAAAAAAATTCCTACCAAAAAATCCCCAGGTCACGACCTAATAACTAATTATATCGTAAAAAACCTTCCACGTAAAGCCATAGTATACCTATCTCACCTTTATAACGCAGTACTTAGATTATCCTTCTTCCCAAACTCCTGGAAGCACTCCATCGTATAATACTCATTCTCAAGCCAAACAAACCTCCCGAAAATCCAGCATCATACAGACCGATAAGTCTTCTCCCTACTTTCTCAAAAATCTTCGAAAAAATTCTCTTAAAAAGACTCATCCCTCTTGCCACTGAAGCTAACATCATTCCACACACCAAGTTCGGTTTCAGAGCCCATCACTCAACAATACACCAACTTCATCGCACTGTCGATAAAATATCCAACGCACCGGAGAAGAAAGAATTCTGCCTTACTGTGTTTCTGGATGTCTCACAGGCTTTTGACAGAGTCTGGCATGAAGGGCTACTTTACAAACTAAAAAAGTTTCTCCCAGCACCATATTTCTTACTAATAAAATCCTACCTATCAGACCGCTCCTTTAAGGTTCGTTTAAATAACAGCTATTCAACCAGCTGTCGTATTAGCGCAGGTGTTCCCCAAGGTAGTGACATCGCTCCCTTTCTTTATTCTGTGTTCACTCATGACATCCCCAAAACACCCTTCACTTTTCTTGGCACATATACCGATGACACACTAATTTCAGCTTCACACCAGGATTCCGGAACTGCTTGTCGGATGATCCAAAGTCACCTTAATATGATAAACTTATGGACAAAACGTTGGAAAATAAAAATTAACGAAACGAAGTCTACTCATGTAACTTTTACATTGCGCAAATCTGTCTGCCCTCCTGTTACATTTAACAACCAAATAATTCCTTCGTCAGACGAAGTTAAATACCTAGGAATAATATTAGACAAACGCCTCAACTGGAACTAGCACCTAAAACAAAAAAGTAAATCAGTAAACTCCAGACTACATCTTTTGAGACCCCTATTAAAATCAAAACTTTCTTTAACAAACAAACTTACGATAAATAAATCGATAATCCGTCCGGCTTGGCTCTACGGCATCCAACTTTGGGGGCCAGCAAAACCATCAAATACTAAAACTCTCCAAGCATTCCAATCCATATGTCTACGCCTAATAACCTCTGCCCCTTGGTATGTTACCAATAAAAATCTCCACAAAGATCTGAACATACCAACCCTCAACGACTTAGCCAAATCCTATTACTCAAAATTCCACTCAACCCTCCGCGCTCATTCAAACCCCATAATTAAAAGTTTATCCTCTGCCTCTATTATTCCTAGAAGGTTAAAAAAACAATGGCCAAGAGATCTGCTCAATACCTAATTAAAAAAAAAAAATAAAAATAAATAATTATGATAAAATGAATTAAAATAAAATTCAAACCGTAATTTCTTGTCAGGTGGCACTGCTGGGAGCCTTCCTTCTCTTTTAATTGCTATTATTGTTAATTGTTATATTCTTTAAGTCACCACACTTACTTATTATACACTGTATGTATAGATTGTAAATACACTTTTATTTAAAAAAAAAATAAAAAAAAAAATAAAACTTCCAAAATTGTATTCAAATCTTAGATGCATTCAATACATATAAATAAAGCTGATTAAAATATTAATATTAATAAATTAGCTAATTAAAATATTAGTATTAATATAAAAGCTAATTAAAATATTAATATTAATATAGCATCCAGTATTACAAAGCGTAAGTAGTTGGCTTGTTTTTTTAGAAATGATTACATCTTACAATTTAAGTACAATTAAAAATATGTCAACCCATGTGGACACATTTTTGTGTACTTTTGTGAGAAATTTGTATATGAAAATTGCAATTTTACTAACCGGCAATATTGATAAGCTTTATTTGAAGAATAGTGCAATGTCAAAGCAAATTTTTTTATTTCAGCGTTGTACCGCTGACCTTTAGCATGCCTTTTACAATTTTTCAGCCGATTCATAAAAATTTCTTGAGAAAGCCCCTTAAATTTACTACTTATAACTTCACCATCATCACTATTCAACAAACCTTTTTGTTTTAAAGATTTCAATAGTTGTTGTAAACTATTTATCTTTGATCGCTGACGCCTAACTCTCTGTTGTAACAGTTTCAGTTTTTTCTTCAACTTGGTTTTAGTTGGTGTAGAATGAGTTATAGGCGATTGTGGAAAGTTCAATCTCCTAGCAGGTGTTACTAATGTAGAAGAGAGCTGAATACATTTTGAAGGTGTCTTTAATAAAGGAGATATAGAGTGTGGTGTTTTGATGGGGGTTAAACTAACATTTGGTGGTGAAGTAGTGACAGATAAATCAATTGCAACTGATTCAATAAATTCCTGCGATTTCAAAATTGTAGGATTTAAATTAGGTGTAATTGTCATAATGGTACTTTGTAGTGGTGTTTTATGAATAGTTTCAATATTACACGTTTTTTTAGGAGGTTCCAAACTTATAGATATAAGAAGTGAAGGAACTGATTCACCTTT